TTGAGGATTAGATAAATCCATCTGTTTAGTGTGTACTAACACACAGCAACAATTCAATCTGCGGCAAGTCTGATTACCACTAATGTCTCCCTAAGACATTCATGTCAAGTGTCTCTAAGCTTGAGAAAACGTCCCAGTCCCAGACCAAGTTCCCCAGTGGGGCATATGTGTATATGTGGGAGGTGGGGACGAGTCTGGATGCCACTATATAATTTTGTCTGTGCTCGTATCTGCTAGCTCTACATTAGGTAGATAGGAAGGCACTGTAATCGTCAAGGGGGTGGTGCCAAGCTGGAAGTCAGACCAGTCATTATACTGCCATGAGTTCAGTAACTGGTGATTTGCACAAGAAGAATTAAAACAACTCAATTTTAAAAAGAAAAACTTTAAAATCTGGAATGCTAAACCTGGGATTCATGGGTGGGCTTGAACCATGTGATATTTTATTTAAACACTTCTCAGCCTTGGCCCAGATCATATGTGTTGTCTTGAGCAGAATCCCTGGCCTTTACCCTTTACCCTACTAGCTGTCAGTAGCTCCTCCCCAGTCATGGGTCATGATTACCAAAAATATCTCCAGACTTTGCGAGATGTCTCCTGGGAGTTATTCTCTCCCATTCTCAAGAATATTGTAATAAAGCTTAATCTGTATGTGCACCGTTTTCCTGGGAGATTCATTACATGCATCATTTCTAACAAAGGCCTCTGACCCCAAAAGGTTTGGAATCACTCCCTTAAAATCTTTCAAACCAGTAAGAAAACAACCCTTGTCTCCAGCTGAAGCTGCCTAATTAAATGGTGCATTTGAAATTTTACTGTGAAATATACACCCGCCCCTGTACACTTCCAACTACTTTGAAAAGGTACACTGCACAAACCATATCTGGGAAAGTATCTGACTTCAAAAGCTGCTATCCCCAGATGGCAGCTTCCTAAAATAACTGTCCTCAGCAGACTCCCGCGGTGGGTCGGTCACCTACAGAATGGAGCTCTAACTTGCTAAGGGTTAAGGCTGATGGCATGCTAGAACAGACAGTCCAGAGTGGAAATCAAAATGAGCTGCTTTTCAGAAAAGAAATCCAATGTTGGTGTAGTGAGATTGATCAGAAGGGAGGATACAGAGGACGAAGGAAGGGAGGGAGAGATGAGGGTAAGGAAAGAGTGGGAAGGGGGGCGGGAAGGGGAAGGGGAAGAGGAAGAGGAAAGGGAGAGAGAGAGATAAATGTCTTCAAAGAGGTTCCCAAGGAAGCTGTTGGGAGGGGCTGGCTGGAAGTGTTGCCCAGCTTTCCTGCTTGTCCCCACTTAATCCAGCAGCCTCGCGTGGTGTGCAGCCCTGCTCATTCCTACGTCCACACCCTCCTTGTTCTCTACCCCCCTTTAAAGCTAAGAGACATGACTCTACGCACTCTTTGGGGCTGCTTCCCATCCACAGGCCGCAGGAAGCCCTGACCTTGCAACCCCAAGGCTTGACCCAGTAAAGCCAACAGGGATGGGGTGTGGTCTCCGTGCCTCTAGGGAGCACCCGAGAGGAGGTGCAACTTTCTCCCCTACTTCTCAGCCCCCAACGCCTCCCCCACTCTCGCTCAGCGTGTCGGTGTGCGCGCAGCGGCTCGGCGGGGCGGAGGGAGGGGACAGCGGGAAGGGGAGGGCGGCGGGGGAGGAGGCGGCGCGTGCCCGGTCTGCCTAAGGAGCCGGCATCCGCTGTGCAGCCCGGGCCCCGCGGCCACAGCTCCGCCGGCCGCTCGCGGGCAGCGGGGTCTCCGCGCCGGGTGCTGCAGACTCGCCGCCCGCTGCCCCGGCTCTGCAGAGTCGCCCTGCTCCAGTCCGGGACAGCGGAGACCAGGACAGTCCTCAGTGCGGCGCGGTCCCGGCCCCGGAGAGATTTCAAGTTGTGCAGTGCCCGGGACCCGAGAGGAACGGTGGCCGCCGCCCCGCCCTGTAAGTAGCGCGCCGATGCCCCGCTGCCCCGCTGCCGGGTGCCGGGTGCCTCGTGCCCAGCGCCCCGCGCTCAGTGCCGGGAGTCCCGCGTGGGGGTGCTCCGGCTCTGGACTTCCTGAGCTGGTGGCTCAGCTGCTGTCCGAGTCTGCCTCCTGGGGGTGCTGCCTTCCCATCCTTACCCTCTCCTTTTCCCGGCTGCAAGAGCCTCTCCACGCTTAGTATCCCGGAATCATCATTGTGTGTGTCCCAGGGTGCGGTGGGTGCGTCAGGCAGCTGCAGAAGGGGCTTTGAGCTGGCCTGGACCGGGGCATCTCACAACAGCTGGGGAAGAAGCCCTCCTTCCCTTTTCCCACCCCCTGCTGGTCTTCCAGCCTCTTGGCCCAGACCATCTAACTCCAGCCACTCACCACAGCTGACAAGATCTTAAAAACTGTAGCCGGAGCTGCCTCTGCGTGGCATCCAGAGCTGGAGGTGAGAAGTGTAGGAAATAGAGTTTGTGGTGGACTCTGAAGCTGGAGCCTGCAAGCAGTTTGGGAATGGGACTCTAGAATCGGTGTGCTTGTGCATTCATTGTGGAAAGGGTGGGAAGTGGGTCAGGAGTGGAAGTCTGCGCACCTGGAACCGTTTGAATGGCTGTTTGACCCTGGGTGCTGAAAACTGTGAGGGTCCTCCCAGGGTAAAGTGTTGAGCAGCTGAAGTACTGGAACCAAGCAGTCAAAACAGCAGATGTGAAAATAATACACCAAAGCTTGCACTAGAAAATAGTTAAGTCTGGAGGAATTCTCCAGTGCTCTTGAGTCCTGAGTGTGACGACAATTCTACTGTGTGCCTAGTCGGTGTGGAATGTTTGTTAACTTTTTAGTGCTCTGTGATTGTGAGAAATTATCCTTATTGTTTTGTCTGGGCTCGTGCAAAGAGTTACTGTACCCATACAGGGGTGTAGAAAAGTTGCTTGAAACTGGGCATGACCTTGCATGCCAAATAAACAAACCATGGTATAGTTCATTTTATTTTAACATCCTGAATTATGTTTACTGCTAGTAAAAGATGCTACATTGCTTTTAATGTGAATTTGTGAAATGATTTCACAGGCTTGGCAAAAGAAGCCATGCATTTCTTTCAGTAAATGGTCAGAGTTAATTTGGGAGCATTTTACAGGAGGCAAAGACAGGACAAAGCTTGGAGTTAGTTTGAGTTATAGAAATACATATAGAGATAATTAGTTCTTCCAACTTTTGAAGTGTTGAGGGAAGTTTGAAGTTTCTTAACTGAAAATTGTAGAGCTTCTAGAGAATTGTAAATATGCTGGAAGTATTGAACTTTCACCATTTCCTGTTGCTGTTTTACCAGGGGTCATCATCATTACTGCAGAGTCTGAGAAGTTGATGCCAAGTACAACTGAAGATCCATTTTGCTAACAGCTATATCCTCCTTGCAGAACTGTGGATTACCTGAGAATTTCTAGCAACTGCACCCTTCACTCATTCCTTCAGTCCCACTACAATTACTTTGGGTCCTCGTTGCACCTTTTCATGAAAGATGGCATCCAGCCTGACTTGTACCGGGGTGATCTGGGCTTTGCTCTCCTTTCTTTGTGCGGCCACCTCCTGTGTGGGGTTCTTTATGCCTTACTGGCTTTGGGGATCTCAACTGGGCAAACCTGTGTCCTTCGGGACTTTCCGGAGGTGCTCATATCCAGTGCATGATGAGAGTCGGCAGATGATGGTGATGGTGGAGGAATGCGGGCGCTATGCCTCCTTCCAGGGTATCCCCAGCGCGGAATGGAGGATCTGTACCATAGTGACAGGCCTGGGCTGTGGCTTGCTCCTCCTGGTAGCACTCACTGCCCTGATGGGCTGCTGTGTGTCGGAGCTTATCTCCAGGACAGTAGGAAGAGTGGCTGGAGGAATCCAGTTTCTGGGGGGTAAGTGACTTGCTCAAACTTGAACTGTTCACCAGAATTCCCAAAATAGTGCTGAAAATTATGTTTCATTTGTCTGTGGAGGGAATTGTAATTGACACTTGGAATGCAAAGGAAGTAGATATGAAATGGCTTTGGCAATAGATACATCAAATCAAAGATTTTTACTGGAATTCTCTTACTGGGGGCTCTTCAGCTTCTGTACATTCTAAGATGTGCACATCCTTGGCCTGCTGGGTACCACCTGTGAGAGATAAGCATGTGTAGGCTGTTTGTAATAATATGCACTGGGGAGACAGTTTGTATTTGATAGCTTCTTGCTCCTTCTGTCCGGCAGTAGTCAAATGAATTGTCTTTGCCTTGCTAGAATCTTCAGGTCTTTAAAGATTTCACAGAAAAAAGTGAAGGGCTTTGATTCAACAGAATCATCATAATGAGCATTTAGGACTCCATGGTGAATATAAAATTGACTCCTGTTCAATTTCATACTATATTTCTAAATAAGTATTACTCTTTTAGATGAGTGATAACTTTAACAGTTATATTTTTTCACTATGCTACAACTATAGCACTAGGCTAATTATGGTGTTAGATCTTAACTTCTCTGGGAGTTTTTGCTGTGGGGGAAAGAAAAGAATACTGTGTTTAAAGAATGATGTGTGCCTGTCCGGAACAGACTGGATAGTTTCACTAACACCAGACAAAGTCTGATTGTTACTTGGCTTTCCTCCAGCAAGTATTGCTTCAATATCTCTGGTCATATGGTTTTAATTGTACTTTCTATGTTTTCCACTGGGCTTTTTCACTTCCATTCTTCAACCTGAGTAACTGAACTTGTCTGATTTATAATATGCTCTGGTGAAATATGACAACCTCCTCTGATAGTACAGACTGAAGGGAAATAGGGAGCCTGGAAAAACCTGCACAATATATGCATAACCTCGTAACAAAGTAAAAGTCTATGATTTTCCCATTTGTTGTTTTCTTGCAGTCTTTTGGGAAGAATGCAGCAGAATGACCAGTTCTGCGATATCTAGAGCATATTAGACAACCCCAGTGACTTAGTTCAGAATATTTACCAAAACTTTGTAAGTGTGCTCAGAATGTGTGTGGAAAGAATTTTGTGTTTTGAAGCAAGGGTTAGACTTATTTGCTGTCCTTTCTTTCTTGTCCTGAATTAACTTTACTCTCATTGGTTCTCTTCACCAACTGGTTTTGCGTCATCTTAGTCTATGCTGGGACGTGTTTTGTGGGCCTGACAGTCTGCTTCACTGTTCACCACTGGCAGAACACTGCCTTTACTACACACATTTATACACACATGTAGCAAAACTGTTAGGAGACATGGAAAGGCTGTCATTAAAAGTGAAAAGGAAAATCTAGGGTTTTAAAACTTGTTAATGCTATAGAGTTTTAGAGCTGAACTAATGCCAGGAGTATTGAAAAGAATTTTTCTTTAAGAATAAACTGGGTTTGCTGTTGTTTTATTTGGCTCAGGAAAAATGGTTTAGGCGGTTTCATTTTTTCCTCTTATGGTAAATATTACTTTCCAATTTTTCTTCAGTTTATGGCAGAGACTGCTATTATTTCTGGCAGAATAGGAAAATGCTTACAAAGAGAAATCAGTTTTTATTGATTATCTTTAAATGTATAATGAAGGAAGGCAACAGGAAGTGAATTTGAGACCCAGGAGACTTAGCCTTCCTTCTCTAAGCTATGCATAGATTTTTTTGAATTATATAGAGCTAACTGTTCTACGTTATAGAATACCCAAAGGGACAGACGATTGGGAAAGTTATATATGTTTTGAAAGAGTCTTGCTTTTTTCTGTATATGTACTTCGTGAACTCTTGCTTGGTAAGAGTTACTGATATTGCTAATGCTAGGAATAGCATTAGTTACTAATGGTTGGTTCTTTCCTTCTCCCCCACCCCCGCCCCTGCCCCAGTGTGTGTATGTATGTGTGAGGGTGTGTGTGTCAGGGGGTGGATATAGTCACATCTCTGTGTGCCGTGCACATGGAGGCCTGAGGAAGCTGTCCGGTGTCTTATTCTGTCATTCGTCTCCTTATTCCCTGGAGATAGGGACTGAAACTGGGCTTAGTCTGGAAGCCAGCAATCCCAGCAGTTGTCTCTGTCCCCAGCAGTGATGGGGTTGCCAGGCACATGCGCAGCCATGCTTGGTTTCTTACATAGGCACTGGGGATTTGAACTCAGATACTCAGGCTTGTACAGGAAATACTCTTACCCATCTCCCAGCCTCCAACAGTTTGTATTTTCTTATTTCTCATGCATATTTCTTAGATCAAGCAAAAATAATTTTGATTGTAAAACCCTAAAGGAGCTTCTAAAATTCGAATACTTAAATAAACATGCCCATTACCACAGATAATAGTAAATTTAGAATTTAAAAATAACTGCAAACGTAGACAAAAATTTTGAAAATCTGTCACCAGTCAGTACTGGTTAGAAGAAGACCAAATGACCAAACAAAATGCTTTAAAAGAATTCCTCCTGTTGTTCATTGTGTAATTGTTTAGACTTTTATTCACAAAAAGTTTTTATTAGATTTTTCATAAAGTGAGTGAGTTTTTTAAAGACTAAAGATGCCCAAACTGTGAGTTCTGAGTTCTGTGGGTCTTAGAGATTCCAGCACAGGATGCTCTGCTGGAAGGCTGATTCTCTTACTAAAAATGAACCACCCAGAAGGGCTATGTTTAGCTAAAGTGAGGATTGCTCCAAAAACAACAGGAAGCAGAGGAATGACAAAATGCAGAGGCATCCTGCTTAACCCTGCGTGCTGGATCTGAAGTTTGCCCATATGGTGTGGCATCAGGCAGAATAACCCCTGCAGTACTTTGGAACAAGGTAAAGGACAAATTGTCAACCTTGATTTTGAATCTTCTTGCTATGGTTGGTTAGAGGTCAAAATGATACCTTTCAGTCTGGAGCAACATAAAATGGGACTTCTGTGTAGGGATCTTAGGACTAACCAGCTCAAGCAACCAATGAGTGCTGGTTTTCCCGAGGTAACTTGTGGATGAACTTTGATGCTGCTATCCTTATGTCATATCAGAAGGCATGCTTATGTCATAATTTAAAACAAAACAGTGGCTTTGAATTTTGCTCTTATTTGATTTTTTAAAAAGACATGTAAAAAGGCTTTGGAAAATATAATATATAATAAAAATATTAACATGCATGGAGTATGGTAAGGATGCTCCGAGAAAATAGATGTTTGATTAGTCTCTTCCTTTGTCCAATATAAAATTATGTGCTTTCAAATACTGTAGCTACTAAAGACTTCAACAGACTGTTGGGGTGTGTGTGTGTGTGTGTGTGTATGCTGGGCCATAAACTCAAGGCCTCATACATGTTAGGCAAGTACTCTACCATGAAACTACACCCTCAGGTATAGGGCTTTAACAGGATTTAAAAAATGGAGAGTAAATTTTCACACACACACACACACACACACACACACACACACACACACATCTATATCTCCCAGGTGATAATGCTGCTGCTTCTGGGACCAGAGTTTGATAAACCCTGTCTTGAGAAAAAAATTTACTTTATATTTTAGGAAATATGATTGCTAGCAGTTAGTTGACTTCTAGTACTTAAAGTTGGTTGTGCCATGATCTCATACAAATGTCCCCAATCGGATATATGAAAGGGCCCCATCTCTGCAATTCGTTATTTGTTGGGTACATCTTGGTTCCATTTATCCTTGTTCTCATCTGCTTGCTCTGGAATATGAATATATATTATATGCATTTTATAATGTATGTTTATGGTATCTGTTCCATAAAAAATTCCCTTTCTTTTACCATTCTCCTATAGCAGAAACAGGATTTTATAAGAAGAAAGCTAGAAACCAGACCATATTATAGTCTCTGTAGTTTACCTGCAATGGATTTCTAGTAAGGAACTGTTCATTGGGATGGGCCCAAGCAGCCCATGGCCAATTCCACACCATGATGTACACCTTTGTGAAGCTGAATGGTTAGGTCAGGGGTCCGAAAACAGCTAGGCAGAATGGCACTTAAGTCAGCTTTGACTGGTGGAAGGTCTCCTGGCTCTGTGTACAGGAAAAGATGAGCCACTTTTGGTCAACGGTAGCATTTTCTGGGGACCCAGACACCGGGTTTCATTACAACCACATGTGTTGATAGCACACAAGGAACAAACTTGAGTTGGAAGTGAAGACTGCCACAGTGGGAGCACGACCCTGACAGTACATGCCACAGAGCCTTTCTGCTTCAAGCTTCTGGTTTGTTAAAGGCAAGAATAATGACAAATTAACTAACTATTCTTTCATAAAATCTGTAATACTAAACTTTATATATTTATATATAAAAATGTTTTTAAATGACATTTTCAGGTAACCATTTATACCAGTCTTTTTTTACTTATTTTTTTTTTCTAGAAGAACTTCTCTGAGCTTTAATCTAGGAAGCATTCCATTGCTTTGACACTTTCCTATCAAGCTTCCAAGTTTTTCATATTGGGATTCTACAACAATCCTTTAGTTCTGTGAGGGGTCTAGAAATATCACCAGTGATCTTATTCCACATGGAGAGTGAGCAGTTCTGCCCAGAGAGTGTTTGGCAGGGCTGGGTGGGGCCCAGGTAGAGCAGATGGAATGAACTCCCCAGGGATTCTAGGCCCAGTTGGTGTACAGAACTCAGAACTGTTTTTGAGAAGCAAACCATTGCTATTCACTGAAACATATTCTATGAGCATCACAGTGTAGACTTACCCAACTGCTAATCTTAAAAGGAAGCATCAGACTTGTTATTTGGGGAGTAATAGGATTTGAGGTGTAGAACATCAGAATAGGTCCTACAGAAACAGACCCATGAATGTTGAGATTGGCTTTTCCCTTATATTATCTTGTTGACCTTAGGTGGTTGTCACCCTTGTTCACCTTATAAAGCAACAGAAGAACCAAATGCTTTCTGTGCTATATGCTCTGAGGAGGAGTGTGTTTTGAATGCT